CAATGTTGCTCGTGTCCTTTGTCGGATTCCAGTCATGAGTGAGCTGACTTTGGACTGAGGTTATGTCATTCATTTAAGTGTGAATAAGCATAATATTGCAGCTTTCTTCTAATTTACAAGATTTAGATTACAGTTTTGACATTCAAGCATGTTATGAATTTTGAGACGGCAATTGGACCATCGTTGGTGTTTCGCAATCATCTTTTTGTACATTATTCATGTGTGTGTGTGTCATGTTTCTGGAGTTCCTTTCTAGGTCTCCGACACTTTCTATGAACTCCAGCAACTAATGTGGTGGCTTTACTTGTTTCTCAGATTGGTAAAAAGCAAGACTCTGTTGGATCGAGAATGCCAAATTCTCCACCAGGCTTATTCTTTCGACATGCTGGACACAGGTATGGAGCTTTATATTTCTCGATATGTTTTAGATTTTGGGATAGGCCAGAGATACCATCTCATCCACACTTGCACTTGCCCGAATTCGGTTTGGTCATGACCATAACATTCATCATTATCTCATACAATAAACAATTTTCACATATAAATCAGGGACAAGGTTGTCGACTTCCATTGGAACACATCTGATCCATGGACCCTCGTCAGTGTGTCCGATGATTGTGAAAGTACAGGAGGAGGTGGCACTCTTCAGGTAACAAATTTTATCTCAAATTTTTATCAAAAACAACTCAAAGTCGGTCTTCATTCTTTTGACTGGTGCTACTATCGTTGCGCTGCAGATATGGCGGATGATCGATTTGATCTACCGGCCGGAGGAGGAGGTTTTGGCTGAGCTGGATAAGTTCAAATCCCACATTCTCAGTTGTGAAAAAAATTAAGTTTCCCCATCACTTATGGCATAACTTGTGTTTGACTTAAAAAAGTATTGTAATTGTTAGGATCTCTCTTGTGGACTTGAAAATGTTTCATCATGTTCTTGTACTCTTCTTCAACCTTTAGATTCTAGACACTTGCAAATGGTAAAACTTTTAGTCAATATAAAAATATGATGGGTTTGAAGGTTGAATGCTTACATTAGAAGGTTGAATGCTTACATTAGAAGGATGAATTAAAGTATTTGTATTAAGGTATGTTAAGTATGTGTTCAAAGTCTACAAATTCCCTTTTTGGTGGAAAGTTGTTCTGAGCGTGTTGGGCTTTTGCTTTCGATCTTCATGGTTGTTTTTAATGGAAATTTAGTGTTGGAGGAGAACAAAGTTTGCTTTTTTAGGGTTTATTGACCCTTTTTTTCTAATGTGGGTGTTTGGAATTTTGGAGAAAAAAGAAAGGATGTCTGTACACCACTCTTTCTCTTTTTTTCTTTTTGGCAGAAAGCCTTCTAAGTGTTTGTTTTTGGTTTTGATCTTCTTGGCTGTTTTTTTATGGATATTTAGTAGTGGACGAAGAAGAAAGTTTGCTCTTTTTAGCTTTCTTGACTCATTTTTCTCGGGTGATGTGTTTGGATTTTGGAGGAAAATGTGAAGGTGTGTGATGATTCTAAAATGTATACTTGTTTTACGCTTCTCTTATGTGGGGCTACTACTCTTCTGCATGTGTTGTGTTTTTGCTTTTGATCTTCATGCAACTTTTGATGAAAATACAACGTAGGGGAGAAGAAAGTTTACTTTTAGGGTTTTTGGCCCTTTTGGAGGGTGTTTGAAGTTCTGGAGGAAAGAATGTGTGATTATGTTGGAACGGTGCAGGTTATGGCACTAGCTTTTTCTAGTTTGTCTGTTTGGTTTTTCGGACAAGTAAGGGAAAAGAAGGAAAAAAATTTTATATTTGTCAGATTATGTTTCTTGCTGGTCTGTTCACTCACACACACACACCTCTTTCTCTCTCCCCTCTCTCTCTCTCTCGTTTTCTTTCTTCACCAAGCTCTGCCGCTTTTGATTTTCATGCTGCTGTTTATGATTAGGAGGAGAAAAAAACACTTTTTAGAACTTTTTGTTCCTTTTCTTTAATGGTTTTTGAAGTGGAGATAAGGGAAGATGTTCTGGTAATGCTGGAATGTATCTGTATACCTGTTTATGCACATAATTTTTTCTGTTTTTGTTTTTTTGGGGTTTTAATGTTATAGTTTTTGTTTATAGTTAGTTAAGTGAACTGGGGGCTTTTTTGTGTCCAAGGCTGTAGTTTGCTTCCACAGGGTCTGGGTTTGATTCCTCGTTGATGCTTCTCGGAGAAGAGCTGTTCATTTCTGGTTTATCCAAAGAAAAAGTGAGGTTTGGTTAATTGGCTAGCTTTTCCTAGGTATCCTGTTTGGTTGCGAAAATTGAGGGACAAGGACAATAGAATTTTATATTTGTGCAGTATGTTAAGAATTATGTTCTTTTGGGTTTAGATAGAATGACAAAAAGTCTCCTACCATGCTAAATGTCAGAGTTTGGCTTGTGTTTTTCTTTTTTTTTTTCCACTCTTTTATTGTTTTTATAAAGAAAAAGCTCTTTAATTCTTAGTTAATGATATGTTTGTTGAGAGAAAATGTTGGAGAGAAAAAGAATATGAAATGTATAATTCATGTCCTTTTCTGGGAAAAAAATACAAACAATTTTTCGCTCACTGCGACCTCTTTGTGCTCCTCACTCACTTTGCCCCTTTTCTTTTTTGCTGTTTTTTTTTCATTTTTGCCTCTTTACTACGGATAGGTATTTTATGTATTTTGTATTTTCTAGTGTGGTTTTTGTCAGATTTAACCTCTGGTGTTTGAAGAGGAAATTTAAAAGAAGAAAAATTGCAAAAGTTTATTTTAATTTATGTTTAACTGCTAAAAACTTAGAATATTAGGTAATGAAGCAGGTTGCATAGTAGTTGTCTCTTTAACTACTAAAACTTAGTATTAAATAATATTAAATATTTGAACTTTTGGCTTATATTTTCATAAATTTTCTTAGTAACTGTATGGTGTATATTGACGGAAAGAAAGGAACGCATGTTGAAGATAGTTTCTCTTATAAATATCATTTGCCATACCTTAATTGATTATTGTTGTTATATTTGTGTGTATATTTGTTGTTGGTGCATATGAAATGCTTGACACTCTTTTAGTCAAAGTTCAACTTCAAGTGAATATCTAATCATTCTGTAAATTTCATTAATAGATGGCCCCACTTGAACAAGCTACCTACAAGATCGTCAGCGTCTTACCTTTCTGAACAGGCAAGTGACTCTTGTTGAAAAGCACTTCACTGTACTTCTGTTTATTTTTAAGTTACTTGATTCTTCCTCGATTAGGATTTATACTGTCAATGAAAGAACCGGCAGAAATTTTGTTTAGTATAGAATATCTTGTCCTCTTTGGAAATGGTGGCTTTCAGATTTAGATGTGCATAAAGCCAACTCTAGTTGCAAAGAGTTGGAAATTTGGTGCTCTTATGAGGCTCAGCAAAAATGTGTCATGCTGGTAGACAATCTGAAATTTTCACATTACTGAGCTCAGCACTGATTTAGCCATGTTTGTGTTCTTTGGCATTGTATCCCTGCCTTATTATCTGATGGCATAATTTATATATATGTGTCTTGTTTTTTATTGCACAGCTTTCATCATTTTCTGTTGTGGTTATTGATTATTCCTCTTGTTTTGTTTTCGTTTTTTTGTACCTAGACCGATGGCAGTGTTCCAAATACACTTGTAATAGCAAACGTGAGATTGTTAAACCTAGGGTTGCAGCTGCGGAGCACATAGCCCAGGTGATGTTTTTGTAAATAACCACTGCTAATCTTTTTCCGTTTTGTTCCCCCACTTCATCATTTTATTCACTGTTTATTGCATTGGCTTTGCTTGGTATATTAGTACTTATTGTATCTTCCTCTCTTGTCTACAGTTCATATGAGGCACGTTCTCCATTTGTGAAGAAGTATAAAACATTCATCCCGGCGAGGTATCTACCACCTTTCTTTTTTCGTTTTCTGGTCTTTCTGGCTGTATGAGTTCTCATGGGTAATTTGTTGACTTTAATGTGAAGTATGATTTAGTATTTTAGCTTTCAAGAGAACCTTTTTAGCATCTACAGTTATAATTTCGCAGGTGACAGAATCAGGAACTCCCACAAAACAGCAAAATAGTGCCACGCACACTGATAGTCCTGATGTAAGCATCCATCTCATGTGTTACTTGAAGAGAATCAAGTGTCTTAAGGTTAGAATATATTATTCTATTTGAATTTGAGGTTTATAAATTGATGAAGCTAATAAATTGAGTTTGATTTTCAAAATAGGTACTCATTTGGGATGTTGAGGCTCACCCAATCGTCATGCTGTCCTGGGAGCTACAGAGTCTCGTCCTGATCTGGGCACTATTGTTAATAATAATTTTTATCATCACCATTGTTTATTTGCAATTATGATTTTATATTAATTAAGTGTTTAGCTGGTATTTGGCCATTTAGAATTTAAAAAAGTGTACATGCATAGACAAAAGAACAGTTCAGCTGTTCCACAGTATTGTATTGATTCTCCTCTTTCCAAATAGGGCCTTGCTAACCTAGATATGTCATCTTGCAGATATTGACTGGGCACCTGATAATGCTGAATTTGCTCTTGCTATGAGTCCAACTGAGCCCTTTGTGCTTTCTGGAGGTTCTTTCTTTCTTATTTCTTGAGGTTTCTGTTTATTGTGTGGTTTAATCATTAAGGCTTCATTTGGTACACTCTTCCAAATATTATTCTGGTTTTCCCATAAAGTTAACACTCAAAAATGCATTTGCTTCAATATTCTCAAAATCTTATTCTATTTTATTCATCTCACAAAACATTAATAATTACCTTTCTCATAACATAACCCAATTTTACTTTTTTCAAAATATTATTCTAAAAAGTATAGAATAATGAATCAAACGACCCTAAATTTGCCAGCAGTTAAGGAATATTAGTTGCATTATTTTTTGGTATTTTATCTGGTAAGGTTGGTTGTCAATATTTAGGACTCTGTATTTCTGTGGAATTTCTTGCCAAATTATCTTTTTGATTGAGGTGATTTTTAACAGGTAAGCAAGTCAGTTGTTTTATGGAGCATTCAAGATTATGTTCAACTTTGGCGGCAGAACCAGCTTCCACAAGTCTCCAGGATCTGCTGGTGCCAATACTAAAAGCGCTACTAAGAGTGGTGGGAGTATGATAAACCCAATATTTGACACATCAACACTGTCCAAATTCAAACTCAACTCACTTGACTCGGTGTTATCATCCTTCTCTTCCCCTTCAAACTCATTCCTATTTACAGCAAACCAAACCGGCCTTTCACTTTGACCGCCAAAACAAACCCAATCACCGGCCGCAACGTCACCCTTCTCCAACCTCCTAAAAATCTCGACTTTCCCGCTCTTTCCGCTCCGAACCCAGATGGGGTTCTTCCCTATCACTTCGAAACTAGCTCTGGGCCCCGTTTCAGTCTCGCCGGAGTCTTTCAGTGAAAACACCACGTGACGGCGAGAGACTGTACGGTCTCTGGTGTTGAACCCTGAACCTCTTCCAAACACAGTCTTAGAATTGGGTTTTATTGAGATTTTTGAACCGTCTTCACCGGAGATTTCCATCTATAAAAATTGAAGAAAAAGGGAAATGGTTTCAGAGCTTCAGCTTTCTCGGTTTCCATTTTTTAAATCAAACGGTATTTATCGTGGCTGAGTTTTCAATCTGTGAAGAAACGCAGCGTTTTGTTTCCTTGCTAACGACGCCGTTTTTATCTTTCCAGAAATAATTTCTTTCAAAAAAATATTACTGAAAAAGAACAACAGTACTGTAGTGCAAAAAGGCGTCCTGTCTTGTGGGGGTCCGCTGTCTTCACCACACACTCTCTTGTCTTGTCTTCTTCTACCCAGTTCAGCTCTCATTTACTTCACATTTTAACTCTCTTTCTTCTGCCCCTCGGTCCCTCCCAAACACACAGAAGCGGCGGGAAAACGAAAGAAAATCGAAGAGAAAATGAAAGAAAGAATGAAAGGAATGGAAAGATCTGTAGATGAAAGATACACTCAATGGAAGAGTTTAGTTCCCGTCCTCTACGATTGGCTTGCCAATCACAACCTCGTTTGGCCCTCCCTCTCTTGCCGGTCCGTACAGTTTCTCTGTTTCTCACTCACACTGTATTTTTCTTGTTTTCTGTTTTTTTTTTTTTTTTNTTGCCCCTTTGTCATTTTTGCTGTTTTATTTTTCATTTTTGCCTCTTTACTACGGATAGGTATTTTATGTATTTTGTATGTTCTAGTGTGGTTTTTGTCAGATTTAAACCTCTGGTTGTTTGAAGATGAAATTTAAAAGAAGAAAAATTGCAAAAGTTTATTTTATATTTATGTTTAACTGCTAAAAACTTAGAAATATTAGGTAATGAAGCAGGGTTGCATAGAAGTAGTTGTTCTCTTTAACTACTAAAACTTTAGTATTAAATAATATTAAATATTTGAACTTTTGGCTTATATTTTCATAAATTTTCTTAGTAACTGTATGGTGTATATTGACGGAAAGAAAGGAGACGCATGTTGAAGATAGTTTCTCTTATAAATATCATTTAGCCATACCTTAATTGATTATTGCATGTGTATATATTTGTGTGTATGCATTTGTTGTTGGTGCAATGAAAATGCTTGACACTCTTTTTAGTCAAAGTTCAATCTTCAAGTGAATATCTAATCATTCTGTAAATTTCTATTAATAGATGGGGTCCACAACTTGAACAAGCTACCTACAAGAATCGTCAGCGTCTTTACCTTTCTGAACAGGCAAGTGACTCTTGTTGAAAAGCACTTCACTGTACTTCTGTTTATTTTTAAGTTACTTGATGTCTTCCTCTGATTAGGATTTATACTGTCAATGAAAAGAACCCGGCAGAAATTTTGTTTAGTATAGTTAATATCTTGTCCTCTTTGGAAACTGGTGGCTTTCAGATTTAGATGTGCATAAAGCCAACTCTAGTTGCAAAGAGTTGGAAATTTGGTGCTCTTATGAGGCTCAGCAACAATATGTGTCATGCTGGTAGACAATCTGAAATTTTCACATTACTGAGCTCAGCACTGATTTTAGCCAATGTTTGTGTTCTTTGGCATTGTAATCCCTGCCTTATTATCTAGATGGCATAATTTATATATATGTGTCTTGTTTTTTTATTTGCACAGCTTTCATCATTTTCTGTTGTGGGTTATTGATTATTCCTCTTGTTTTGTTTTCGTTTTTTTGTACCTAGACCGATGGCAGTGTTCCAAATACACTTGTAATAGCAAACTGTGAGATTGTTAAACCTAGGGTTGCAGCTGCGGAGCACATAGCCCAGGTGATGTTTTTGTAAATAACCACTGCTAATCTTTTTCCGTTTTGTTCCCCCACTTCATCATTTTATTCACTGTTTGATTGCATTGGCTTTGCTTGGTATATTGAGTACTTATTGTATCTTTCCTCTCTTGATCTTACAGTTCAATGAAGAAGCACGTTCTCCATTTGTGAAGAAGTATAAAACAATTATTCATCCCGGCGAGGTATCTACCACCTTTTCTTTTTCGTTTTCTGGTCTTTCTGGCTGTATGAGTTCTCATGGGTAATTTGTTGACTTTAATGTGAAGTATGATTTAGTATTTTAGCTTTCAAGAGAAGCTTTTTAGCATCTACAGTTATAATTTCGCAGGTGAACAGAATCAGGGAACTCCCACAAAACAGCAAAATAGTAGCCACGCACACTGATAGTCCTGATGTAAGCAGCCATCTCATGTGTTACTTGAAGAGAATCAAGTGTCTTAAGGCTTAGAATTATATTATTCTATTTGAATTTGAGGTTTATAAATTGATGAAGCTAAATGTAAATTGAGTTTGATTTTCAAAATAGGTACTCATTTGGGATGTTGAGGCTCAGCCCAATCGTCATGCTGTCCTGGGAGCTACAGAGTCTCGTCCTGATCTGGTGCACTATTGTTAATTAATAATTTTTATCATCACCATTGTTTATTTGCAATTATGATTTTATATTTAATTAAGTGTTTAGCTGGTATTTGGCCATTTAGAATTTAAAAAAGTGTACATATGCATAGACATAAGAGACAGTTCAGCTGCTTCCACAGTATTGTTATTGATTCTCCTCTTTCCAAATAGGGCCTTGCTAACCTAGAGTATGTCATCTTGCAGATATTGACTGGGCACCATGATAATGCTGAATTTGCTCTTGCTATGAGTCCAACTGAGCCCTTTGTGCTTTCTGGAGGTTCTTTCTTTCTTATTTCTTGAGGTTTCTGTTTATTGTGTGGTTTAATCATTAAGGCTTCATTTGGTACACTCTTCCAAATATTATTCTGGTTTTCCCAATAAAGTTAACACTCAAAAATGCATTTGCTTCAATATTCTCAAAATCTTATTCTATTTTATTCATCTCACAAAACATTAATAATTACCTTTCTCATAATCATAACCCAATTTTACTTTTTTCAAAATATTATTCTAAAAAGTATAAGAATAATGAATCAAACGGACCCTAAATTTGCCAGCAGTTAAGGAATATTAGTTGCATTATTTTTTGGTATTTTATCTGGTAAGGTTGGTTGTCAATATTTTAGGACTCTGTATTTCTGTGGAATTTCTTGCCAAATTATCTTTTTGATTGAGGTGATTTTTAAGACAGGTAAGGACAAGTCAGTTGTTTTATGGAGCATTCAAGATTATGTCTCAACTTTGGCGGCAGAACCAGCTTCCACAAAGTCTCCAGGATCTGCTGGTGCCAATACTAAAAGCGCTACTAAGAGTGGTGGGAGTAATGATAAACCCACTGAGAGCCCCTCTATTGGGCCACGGGGTATCTTCCTAGGGCATGAGGATACTGTTGAAGATGTTCAGTTCTGCCCATCAAGGTAACTGACATGATCTAGTTAAAAATGCATGGGTTATGTGTTAAGTTTTTTATTCTGAGTGATCTACTGAAATTGCCACTGAAGATATTCTGTGATATTCTGTGAAGCAGTAAAGAAGCCCTCCACATTTCCTGAATCTTTCCTGTATATTCTGTATTTGTAGTGCACAGGAGTTCTGCAGTGTTGGCGATGATTCATGCCTTGTACTATGGGATGCCAGAACTGGCTCTTCTCCAGCAGTGAAGGTTATTGTTGTGTGCTGCATATTTATCTGTTTTGTTTCAGTTTTCTGCTCTGTTTTGATATTTTTCTTGCTGAGATTTAAAGTATCTTTTGTATGATTTCATCATTTGGAGAAGGCATCTATGAAGAAGAATTGATGTCTTGAGGACCCAAACTAGCGGTCCTTGCTAGGGAATTAAGATTGCTTTTCTGCCATAGTTTTAAATTTGACTTTGGTCGGCTTTTGCTTTTTCTGTTGTAAGGGCAGGTTGAAAAAGCTCATAATGCTGATATTCATTGTGTTGATTGGAATCCTCATGATGTAAATCTAATTCTGACAGGGTAAGAAATCTGAGACGTTCTTTCTATTCTTGTATCTCTTTTGTGACACTGTAATTAACAGAATATATGATGAATTTTCTACCATTTTGTTTTGCATTGAAAATTTCTTCAACTTTCTGAATAAATAATTTCATTTTCAGTTGTTTTTTTATGCCCTTTGCTTTTACTGTAGATCTGCTGATAACACAGTTCACATGTTTGACCGTCGAAACCTCACTTCCGGTGGAGTTGGGACTCCTGTTCATGTATTTGAGGGTCACAGTGCTGCTGTCCTTTGTGTGCAGGTAGCTCCTGTTGCTTTCTCGTTACATCTTTAGGAATGTAATCCATTCTTTTTCTTCTCATGCTAACAATATATATGCATTTGTTTCCAGTGGTCACCAGACAAGTCATCTGTCTTTGGCAGTTCAGCAGAGGATGGAATTTTGAACATCTGGGATCATGAGAAGGTGTGGACAAACATTTATAGAAACGGCATACAGATTGGACAGTAAAACTGGAAAACTAACTAGACTAAGCGAAAAGGGTTGCTGTAATAATAATAAATATGGAGGAGAAATTGAGAGTTAGAATGTGATGAGAAGTGCAAAGTTTTTATTACTAAGATCTTAATATATTACATGGTGCTTTAACAACATTTTGGAAGCTTCAAGTGACAAGTGATAGAAGTCTGAATTAGCATATTATCAATGTTGCTCGTGTCCTTTGTCGGATTCCAGTCATGAGTGAGCTGACTTTGGACTGAGGTTATGTCATTCATTTAAGTGTGAATTAGCATAATATTGCAGCTTTCTTCTAATTTACAAGATTTAGATTACAGTTTTGACATTCAAGCATGTTATGAATTTTGAGACGGCAATTGGACCATCGTTGGTGTTTTGCAATCATCTTTTTGTACATTATTCATGTGTGTGTGTGTCATGTTTCTGGAGTTCCTTTCTAGGTCTCCGACACTTTCTATGAACTCCAGCAACTAATGTGGTGGCTTTACTTGTTTCTCAGATTGGTAAAAAGCAAGACTCTGTTGGATCGAGAATGCCAAATTCTCCACCAGGCTTATTCTTTCGACATGCTGGACACAGGTATGGAGCTTTATATTTCTCGATATGTTTTAGATTTTGGGATAGGCCAGAGATACCATCTCATCCACACTTGCACTTGCCCGAATTCGGTTTGGTCATGACCATAACATTCATCATTATCTCATACAATAAACAATTTTCACATATAAATCAGGGACAAGGTTGTCGACTTCCATTGGAACACATCTGATCCATGGACCCTCGTCAGTGTGTCCGATGATTGTGAAAGTACAGGAGGAGGTGGCACTCTTCAGGTAACAAATTTTATCTCAAATTTTTATCAAAAACAACTCAAAGTCGGTCTTCATTCTTTTGACTGGTGCTACTATCGTTGCGCTGCAGATATGGCGGATGATCGATTTGATCTACCGGCCGGAGGAGGAGGTTTTGGCTGAGCTGGATAAGTTCAAATCCCACATTCTCAGTTGTGAAAAAAATTAAGTTTCCCCATCACTTATGGCATAACTTGTGTTTGACTTAAAAAAGTATTGTAATTGTTAGGATCTCTCTTGTGGACTTGAAAATGTTTCATCATGTTCTTGTACTCTTCTTCAACCTTTAGATTCTAGACACTTGCAAATGGTAAAACTTTTAGTCAATATAAAAATATGATGGGTTTGAAGGTTGAATGCTTACATTAGAAGGTTGAATGCTTACATTAGAAGGATGAATTAAAGTATTTGTATTAAGGTATGTTAAGTATGTGTTCAAAGTCTACAAATTAAGAAACCAAAAAGTGGGAAATAAATAAATGCTATTTTTATTTTTTTTAATATTTAATGAAATAATATTGATTTATAAAATTAATTTGACTTTAAAATTAAATTTTAAATAAGAAAATAATCAAAGTTAACTTGCTACTTAATGAAAGAGAACTCTTCAAGTCTTCATATTATAATATTAATTCTCTATTATTGTTAATAATGACATTTTAACCAACTCTTTATGAGAAATATTATGATCCATCCGTGGATAGCTTAGACGATTATGACGAATTGGGAATAGTATATATAGACGTATAATCTCAAATTCAATTTTTCATTTGAGTATTAACAATTTAAGTGTACGATTTTAAATTTGTTTTTTCATTTGAGTATTTGCAATTTAAATAGAAGGTCGTGACAATAAATTAACACTAGTTTAACAACACGAATATTTTGTGGATAGATGGATGGTATTATTATTATATCATATTCATTTTTAAGTTTAATAAAAGGGTTATTTTAGCGATAGAAAAAAAGAAAATAAAAACTCACAATTTAAAATTTTCTAGAATTACATTTAAAACACATACTTACAAAAATATATTTTTTTAATTAAAATTTTAAAAATTAGAGCTCCGTTTGGTTCACTTTTTTGTATTTTTTAGAGAAGTTTTTTGAAAAAAATTAAAAAAAGTTAAATTTGGTGGGTATTACGATATAGGATTTGGAAATTAATAAAAATATCTCCTATGTTTGTTTATTTACTAAACATCCCTATAATAAAACTTTAAAAGTTAATAAAAACACCCCCAACCCACCCATTGAATAATCATAGCCGGCCACCACCGTCGGAGGGTGGTCGGAGTCGTCGTATCGACGCATGATCGGCTGGATCTTGCCAGTCGTGGTTCGATGTGGCCTTTACCGGCCTTGCTCGTCAACGACGGCCAAAGATACGAATGATGACCATATGTTGGCCGTCGTTGACGTCTGGTTACGGCCAAGCCTTAGATCTGGCAGGAAAATACTAGATCGGCCCACTACCGGTCAGATTCAGCCTATAGTGCGCCATTATATCAAATTCTAACCAACTTCCGACAGTGGTGGTCGGAATCTGGTATAATGTGGGTTTAGCGGTGTTTTTGTAATTTCGAAAAAAATATTTAGGGGTATTTAATTAAATTAATAAATTTAGGAGGTTTAAAAAAATTGAATAATATTGAATAATATTGTGAGTTTTTTAGTATTTTAATTATTAATTAATTACCCAAAAGTCAAACCAAACAAATGAAAATATTTTTGGAAATGTAAAAAACTGTTTCTGGCAACATAAAACCAACCCAACCCCCTCTCTAAATCATCTTTCTTCACTCCACTCATCTTGCTCTGTAAAAATGGAGAAACCCAAACCCTCCGCAACGACGAAAATTATGGCAACACTTTTCTTCACTCTCCTCTTAATCTCCTCTGCTCACGCTTTCTACCTTCCCGGTGTCGCCCCTCGTGATTTTCAACGAGTAAGCTCGCTCTAGACCCGTCTCTCTCTTTTACGTTATCTTGTCGTTTTAAGTGCTTCATTGTCGTTTTACTGTTCGTTTCCTTGGTGGGTTTTGTTTTTCTTGTGATTTTATTGGTGTCCTTCTTCGTGTTTTGTTTTGTTGTGTAGAGTTGGATCTGAGGTTTTTAGTGTTTGATCTGTTGTGATGCGTGGTCGTTTTGGTTTATGGTTTCTGGGTTTGTTTTGGATCTGGGTTTGTTTGTGTGTTGTTTACTGTTTTTCTTGTGGGTTGTGTTTGTGTAGTGTAAAGATTTGAGCTTGACGTAGTTTGTTTTCCAAGTTTTATGCTTCTTTGCTTTAGATTTTGTTGTTTTAGCTTGTAAATTTTGAAGAGATGATATGGTGCAATTGATCTAAGGACTTGTTTTGTTGGACTATTCATGATGCGTTTTGTGTTTTTGTAGTTTAAAGATAATAGTTACAATTACTATAAAATGAACAAAACTTGTACAAGCCAAGAAGAAAGGAATGTATAGCATTAGGAAATAGGAAAGGTAATAAAAACTAAAGAGCTCTTGGAGTTCTAAACTGATGGTTCCTGCCTGATCCACTGTATTATATTCACAATTAAAAGGGAAAGAAGTAGAGTTGACGTCTAATAGATGACTGGATTCAGTGCTAGTGCATTGTTCATAATCTGTTTATAAGTATTAAATGAGGTACTACTTAGGCTGATTAGCTGTATCATTTGATTTAGGAATATGTTGAGGGGTGTATGTTTGTAGTTATGCTCTGCTTTCAATATTTGTCGTTTATCAGTTGTTGATGTCACGGTTGTGCTCTTTCTGAACAGAGGGATCCACTTATTGTGAAAGTGAACAAGTTGTCTTCTACAAAGACACAACTGCCATATGACTACTACTTCTTGAAATACTGTAAGCCCAAGAAAATTGTGAACAGTGCAGAAAATTTGGGGGAGGTTCTTCGTGGTGACAGGATTGAAAATTCTGTATATCAAGTGAGCAACTCTTACATTTGTCTTATGTTGTTTATTTGTATTTGGTAGCAAACCGAAATGATGAGAACGCCTGTGTTGTTGCCATCATTATTTTCTTTGGAACTGAATGTATGAATTCTTCTGTAGTTTGAAATGAGGGAGGATTTGCCCTGCAAAGTAGCCTGTCGAATCAAACTGAATGCTGAAGCCACAAAAAATTTTAAGGAAAAGATTGATGATGAATATCGGGTCAATATGTAAGTAATGGATATTTCATATGGGATTTGTCCATGTTATGCAACTACTATATCTTTTCCAAGGAGATAGATATTTTGTAATGGTTCGCTGCACATTTTTGTTTTTTCGCACTGAAAGCTATTAAATGTATATGCAGGATTCTTGACAACCTTCCAGTTGCAGTTCGTAGACAAAGGAGAGATGGAAGTCAGTCTACAACATATGAGCATGGTTTTCGTGTTGGGTTTAAAGGAAACTATCAAGGGGTATGCATCAGAAATCAATTTCTATTGTAGAATTGTTTTCTGCCTTTCTTATTGTTATTATAGTTTTATTTTATGTTTGCAGAGCAAAGAGGAGAAATATTTTATCAATAACCATTTGAGCTTCAGAGTCATGTATCACAAGGATCTTGAGTCTGATTCTGCACGAATTGTTGGGTTTGAAGTTACTCCAAACAGGTGTTGTACTGTTCTCCTTCACTTTGCTTTTATTCAATTCTGCCATTTCATTGTAATTTGGTGTTCAGTTAATTATCTTTCAATAATTGGTTTGTGTGTGGAGTTATTCAAATTTTTGTCTTTAAGATTATTAAGAGTGTTGAACTGTACATCACCGTATACTCTGTGTGTGCTTTGCATTCTGTAGAGAAACTAGGAATTTTTCTGGCACATGCTCAATTGCTGTCGGTGTCAAAGGATAATCTTATTCATATAATTGTTGTCTTTTTCCTCTGAACCTTGCAAACAGTATCAATCATGAATATAAGGAGTGGGATGAGAAGAATCCTCAGTTGAGTACATGTAATAAAGACACCAAAAATTTAGTTCAAGGTACTGCTGTTCCACAAGAAGTTGACAAAGATAAGGAAGTTGTGTTCACATATGATGTTACCTTTAAGGTAAAGTGTTTTTAAATTCTTTGATTCATCTATTTCAGTTTCCTCCAACATATTGCCAAGTTTTTTCTCAACTTGCTCTGAATTTTTTAGGAGAGTGATATCAAATGGGCATCTCGCTGGGATACATACCTCCTCATGAATGATGATCAGATCCACTGGTTCTCCATCATAAACTCGCTGATGATTGTCTTATTCCTTTCTGGTATGGTGGCCATGATCATGATGAGAACTCTGTACAGAGATATTGCGAACTATAATCAGTTGGAAACCCAAGATGAGGCTCAGGAAGAAACAGGATGGAAACTAGTTCATGGAGATGTCTTCAGGGCACCAGTCAATGCTGGTTTACTTTGTGTGTACATTGGTACAGGAATCCAGATCTTTGGGATGACACTGGTAACAATGATTTTTGCATTGCTGGGATTCCTATCTCCATCCAACAGAGGAGGACTTATGACTGCTATGGTTCTCTTGTGGGTTTTCATGGGCCTATTTGCTGGTTACTCATCATCACGTTTGTACAAAATGTTCAAGGGCACAGAGTGGAAGAGAAATACCTTGAAAACTGCCTTTATGTTCCCGGGTATTCTTTTTGGCATCTTCTTCGTACTAAATGCTTTAATTTGGGGAGAGCAATCTTCTGGTGCAGTACCATTTGGAACGATGTTCGCTCTCGTTTTCTTATGGTTTGGTATATCAGTTCCCTTGGCCTTTGTGGGTAGTTACTTAGGCTTCAAGAAGCCAGCTATTGAAGATCCGGTTAAGACAAACAAGATACCTAGGCAGATACCAGAGCAGGCATGGTACATGAAACCTGTGTTCTCCATACTAATCGGAGGCATTCTTCCATTTGGGGCTGTCTTCATTGAGCTATTCTTCATCTTGACATCAATATGGCTGAACCAGTTCTATTACATCTTTGGCTTCCTTTTCATAGTGTTTGTCATCCTATTGATCACTTGCGCTGAGATTACCATTGTGCTCTGCTACTTCCAGTTGTGCAGCGAAGACTACCACTGGTGGTGGAGATCTTACCTGACTGCCGGCTCCTCAGCTCTGTACCTTTTCCTCTACTCAATTTTCTACTTCTTCACCAAGTTGGAAATCACAAAGTTTGTTTCTGGCGTCCTTTACTTTGGGTACATGATAATTGTCTCATATGCTTTCTTCGTCCTGACTGGGACGATTGGCTTCTACGCCTGCTTCTGGTTTGTAAGGAAAATCTATTCCTCTGTGAAAATTGACTGATCCAAAAATTGCAGAGAAAGCATGAGCTCTGCCATGAAACTTTAGATGAAAATAGATGAACCGAACGAGTTGGACTGTTTTGACTGTATCTGCAGAAATACACTATGGGAGTTTGTTTCCCGTTCTTGTCAAAACTCTTTTATTTTGGGGTAGGATAGCACTGAGTTTGTTGTCTTGTTTACAAATATGAAAATTATGAACTTTTGTACTTCTATTAGTTTCTATTCAAGAAGTTGAGCTGTGAGTTAGTTGCCTTGTTATTATAGTACTAATCAATATATCAACATTCACTATCACAATCTTTAATTTGTCTGCTCTTTAGATTGTTGTTGGTGGCTTGATTATTAGGCAATTTGTCATTACTAGAAATATTACACTCATAAACCTTTTTCATTAATTTTCTCTTATAAATCTGACGTATTAGTTCGTAATTAGTCAGTTTGTAATAAATCATGTCTGATCAAATGCAAATTAACTAATTACAAATTGTCACGTCTAATATTTGTGAAAGAAGATTGTTTGAAATATTTGTTAAACCTACCTTTATCCTTTTCATCGCTTAATAAATAATTCTGTCTTTATGTTAACTAATTTCAAGGGTATTCTGACTCCTTAGGATGATATCTTTAATCAGGAGGATGTGTTTTGAGCCTTACCAAATGAGTTGAGTATCTCGCTAAACGAACAAGGTGAACAAAACAATATGTGAAGATTAATTCTTAAGTCTCGTTAAAACATGTGGGTAAGGGATATTACAACCAACTAAAACCACAAGAACCTAAACTTTAATTAACACACTTTAAATTTGAAAAAAAAAAATTATATACTGTTAATATATAATAGCTCAGGCCTTTAGAAGCTAAAAATTCAGTATTCTTGTATCCCATGGATGCTAAAGATTTGTTTATAAATGGAGTAACATGCATATAATAGAAGAAAATCCTCTTGGTCCCCAAATTGTGATATAAGCCTCTGAAATAACTATAAAATCACCAGAAAGAATAGTTTCTTAACTTTATCCAGGTTTTTGGATGTGATATGCCTGCTTTAAAATGACCAAGCAGTCTTCCACACTGAAACACAATTATTTTCATAGGGCTTGAAATGGCCCCATTATGAAGTTGAGGCACAATGATGGCCCTTAATCTTTTATTCTGAAAATTTTGACAAAGGGAAGTGTTTATACATTAGCTCTCGTGAAAGACAGCTTTTTTTGTTTTTTGCTGTCACTTTTTAGCTTTCAATGCTTCAATAACTGCTGAAAAATCTTGATCACTAAGGCCATGAGATTTTGCCACCTTATATAGTTCATTCGCGGCTGCTGCAAGTGGGGTCGACTGAGAAACAGATTCTGCTAATCCTAAAGCAAGTCTCAGATCCTGCCATCATGAACAGTTGTAAGATTATAGCATATGCTTCAGAGATGTTGAGATTCCAGGGATATTACAAACCTTCTGCTGATGCTTCAAGGGAAATGCAGTAGGGTAGAGTGATTTAGTCATTGATGGACCTTTAAGTGAGTACATTGGTGCACTGATGGCACCCTGGGACACTACCTCAACTAGTACATTAGGATCAAGTCCTACTTTCTCACTGAGAAGTATTCCTTCTGAAAACGAGGCCATCATGCTGCGAGTTGTAAAAAAGAATGAAGAAAACATAGTCACTGTATGAACCACCATAAACAAAAAATTTAAAGAATGAAACTGGTATAGAATTTGCAGAACCTTCCCATGATCATGTTGACCACAAGTTTCATAGCTGCTCCTTTTCCAACATCACCAAGGTAAAACCTTGACTGGAAAACACATCAATACAGGAGCAGAAATGGTCATCAGATGGTAAGCAAGCAACATATATAGCTTTTACTTTTACAAAAAAGAAGAAAAAAATGACTTGGTAGGACAAATACCTTCCCCATGATGTCTAAGAGTGGCACAACTGTGTCATAGAGAGACTTGTCACCTGAAAAATTAAAGCCGACACCTCAATGGTCTTCAGCAGTAAATGAATATATTAAATCATGAGTGAAAAAAAAAAAAGCTTACCAGCAGTAAGAAATATTAGTTGTCCATCTTCCGCTGGCTTTTTGGAGCCTGATACAGGAGCCTACAAAGGAAGCGTAAAAGCTTAATGAAAAATGTGCTTGATTGTCATGCCACGAATGTATACATAAGCGAGAGAATGTACTTTTATACTAATCTTGAGATTAAGAAAGTGAAACTTAATCCAAGCTTTTACCTCCAAAAACAATGCCCCAGTATCTTTGATATGTGCACTAATCATCTTGGAGGTGTCACCATCAACTGTTGAAACATCCACATACCTGCCAATATATGAGACCACTGCTGCTCCAATTAGAGTTGGGAAGAACAAGCGTACAATTTGAACAATAAATGTGCAACAATGAGATTAGACATAATGTACTATATTCACATTAATAGATTGATATTTCAAGTAGCCATTGAATCAAACAACCAAATTGAAGAGCAATCACGCAGTAGTTGAAATAAGAAGTGAACAATCCATGATACAATAAGCTCAATTTGTCATGTAGCAGAACCAGCTAAAAAAAAATATATGGATTAAACATATTTTATTTTCATAGTTCCATGGCCTCTAACTCTAGACAATGAAAGTATAATCAGCTTTTGTAAACTAACATAAAAGTTAAGCCACTTGAAGGTAATAGAAATATTTCATAAAGCTATGTCTCTGGGGAAAGCTACAGACTTCTGCAAAAGTGTTTAACAGCATTTATTGAACCAATAATGAAAATGTTTTATCCTGAGAGAACATGAGGAAAGTTTACCCCTTGCCAGGACCAATTCCATATGCAGCTCCATTCTTGCCACATGCAACATCAATCTGATAAAAGCAACAATAAGTAGCCATATCTAGTATTATCAATCAAAGAAAGATGGTAACAATCGTAATAAAAATTAAAAGGAAACATACGCACTGCACTTTCAGGATCTGCAAGCATGGCAAATGTGACATCACAAGATGCAGCCACTTCCTCAGGAGAAGGCATATACCTGCATTAAGAATAATAAAAACCCTTATTTGGACTTGCCAACAACTAAAATAATGGCTTTGAGCCCTAGGCCAAGAGTTTCTACACAACATATAGTTGTACATCGAAGTACTTGTAGATAACATGAACCATGATCCATCTTATTTGACATAAACTTGAAATAAATATAAAAGAATATCATCGAGAAGAGTTAAAGGTCAGCAGAATATCAAACACATACAATCAACAATTAATTTTAAAATATATCACCCATGATCTGATCAAAATTTTGAGTGATCGATATGTACAGCATGAATTTGAAATACTTACTGTGCACCCAAGCTGATGAGAGGATCACATTTGCTTTTGGTCCTATTCCAAACAGTCACATCACATCTACAACGCACATATTATAAGATCAGCCTCAAGGACTATAAATACTGAAAGAACTCTACAATACTGAAACAACATATCATTTTCATGCTTAAACATATATATATTGCAAAACACATCTAAAGACTTTATTAAAACAATAAAAACAGAAGAGTAACTTACAAATACTTGACCAATAGATAATAAATTACAAGGTCTTCTCGGTTTTAAATCAACGGAGAGCAGCATATGTTCTTATACTAACTGCAATAGATCCTTACAACCAATGTTGGTATTTTTTTCAGTGCTAAATGCTAATTAGGCTGAGAACTAAAACATACCCAGCTTTTACGAGATTTTGTGCCATTGGAGAACCCATAATTCCAAGACCGAGAAAGCCAATCCGAGCCGGCAATGCGTCTGCTACAAATTTATATGAAAAATTGGCTAAGCAGTAAGCACAAAATCTACCAAACAATAAAATTCAGCCCCAAATTGGTTATTCCATGAATCAAAAACCAGTACTCAATAAGCAATGTAAACTAACATTCAAGATCAAAGCAATGATATCCTGTTTTCTACAACTAAAAATATAATTAGCTTATCTGCAAAGCTCACCATCACAAGATTGTCAATTTGACACAAAAAGTTATTAACTTACACAATAATCTGGCAATTCCAAGGCTTATCTGCAAAGCTCACCATCACAAGATTGTCAATTTGACACAAAAAGTTATTAACTTACACAATAATCTGGCAATTCCAAGGCTCAACTCTTCAATCTCCATCCCTAACTCTTTAATTTCTGAGTAATCTTTACACACAAGCACGCAGGTCCATTGAAAATTTTACCATCACTTAGGAAGTAACTTAATTAAAGCATTGTATGGATATTAATGACTAAAATGGGCCACTAATTAAGGTGACTAAACATTAAACAACCCCTCAACAAGAAAATTATAAGCAAAACCAAAAATCCATTTGGTTCCCACAAAGTTGCTTTCTAGTGCAGAACATAACATAATTACAAAGACAATACCACAAAAGAGAATGAGATAGAGATACCCTTCAATTCAGATGAAGAAATAAAAAAGATTCTCATGAAAAACAAGATAGAATTTAGAAGTACCTTTAGCTGAAACACTGGACGCCAGAGAAGAGAACACCTTGAAAGCAGGAGAAAACAAAGGTTTTGAGGGAAAAGAAAAGTAGGGTTTCTCTTTAAGATGGTAAGGAATCTGAGGACAAAAGCTTGAACACATTGCCATGGCGGTTGATGATAAGAAGTGGGGAGAGTGAGAGTGAGAGTAGAAACTGTTTTTTAACAACAAAGTCATCTAAGGATTTTTTTTTTAACTGACAGTTTGTGTAGAAGCTGGCATTCCCATGCTGGGGATTTTTGTCTGTTCACGTTTGGATAAAGAAAGAGATAAAGCCCTCATGCAACATAAGCCATAGTGCCATACTACATTCGTCCTCTTGGGCTTTGCAGCCTTATTTTTGGGTTACAGTTCATAACAACGAAGGCTTATGTTGCCCAAGCTGGGTCATACTTAGATATTGAAGGTATCGATAGTTCGATACCCTAATACTTACCGGATCAATTTTCATGTGTCATTTTCTTTAAGGATTTTTTTTTTTTTTTTTTAATAATCCAAAAATTCGTCAACCTTACTTTGCAAATTTGCAAAACTGAGGACGAAACTTTAGCCTCTATCAAACCATACAATTTTTTGGAAACTGGAAATAATGATCCTTAACTAGGGGTGAGCAGGAAATCTAGGTAGAACCGGAACTGGTGGGCACATGGGATTCCAGTTTCCATTCCTACCCAAAAGTGGCATGAAAAGAATTAGTCTCAGTTCCAAATTTGGTGGAACCAACACTCTATGGTTCCTATTCAGGTTCCACCACTTCAGGAATCGAAACTGGAATTGAGATTCGAGTACCCAAGGTAGAACTGACAAGTACCCAAGGTGTATTTTTAATTTCTGTAAACAATTGAGGGTGTATTGGTAATTTTCATAAGATATATTTGTCATTTTTGTGAATGGTAGAAGGTATTCATAATTTTTTTAGGTACCCGAAATCAAAACATGTGTTTTAGATTTTGATTCCAAGCATTTAAGAACTGGAATCAACCGATTATGATTCTGGTTCCATGGGATTTGGGCATGTATCCGAACCCGCTCACCCCTATCTTTAACCATACAAGTGTTTATGAGGGTACTCAAACTCATTAATAACTTAACATATCCTTATGAGAGCGTTTGGTTCAAGGAATATTGGATTACTAGAAAGTTTACTGGGAATCTTTAGGAAAATATATTTGGTTAATTGGTGGGTATATTATATTAATATGTTTGGTTTAGAGGATTAAATTGATGGGTATGTTATTTAAATTACTGAATTGTCCTCTAATTAAATATTATTATTATATTATTTTTTAATGTTAATTATTATTTGGATTATTATAACTCCCCTACATTTAAAAACTTAGCAAAAACAACCCTATAATAAAAGTTTGAAAATCAACAAAGCACCCCCACAATCCAACCACTGCCGGCCGTCGACAACTACTGCAAGTCGCCAATAACCTAACGGCACACGGAAGGCAAGAAATGGCCTCTGTGCGTCGTATGGCCATTTCTAGCCAAAGATCTGGCCGAAAATGGCCATACGTGACAGATCTGGCCATCAATGTGGCCGTTAACGACCGAATTTTTGGCCGAAAATGTCCATATCGACGCACGGCAACCATTTTTGACCTTCTGTGCACCGTTCCAATGGCGACGACGGCTGACCGCAACGGTGATTGCCGATTGCAGGTGGGTGGGGGTGGTGGCTTGGGTGGGCTACAATTTGTTTTGAATCCAAGGATAATTTTGTCCAAAAAAGTTAATTAATTGAGATGAAATAATAAAAGTCATATTCATGTAAATAAATTTAAAAATAAAGTCATTATTGTCTTAAAATTTTATTAACAAGGGATATAATTGTAACAAAAAAAAAAAAAAGATAATCTTAGTTATCTTAGAATACCTAAGAAAATGGAGATAATCAGATTACCTCCAATATTATCAATAGTAACCACTATTAGTATTTGAAAATTATCGGTATCATGTATTACTTGACAACCAAACATGGTAATAAAATAATATAAGATGACTTAACCCCAATAATCTCACATAACCCCCAATCAAATGCGCCCTATGGATAAAACATTTAAGTAGGACTCAACTAAGATATTGAAGGTAATTTTACCCCTTATATAGTTATATGTGCATTGAAACAACCTTAATATATTATTGAATCAAACGGACACTTTATTATATGGCCCTTGATGAAAAGAAATTAATTATGAAGGGTTTTCATTTATTTATTTTGAGCCCAACAAATTGTTGTGATCTATCAAACCACCCATGAGAATGGACTTGCCATGCACACTGTATTTAGAAACTAGCTAGGGTTTGTATTAACCGAGCTGCTTATGTAAAAATGGTGGGTTAAAGTTAGGCTCTGAGTCAATTTCAGAGGGATGGGCACTGCCCTATTGGTGTTGTGGGCATTCACTTGGCAAAGTCGCAATGGTTGAAGCTAAAAATGTGAGCCAGAGACAAGTACGACCCTTNCCTCTATGGATAAAACATTTAAGTAGGACTCAACTAAGATATTGAAGGTAATTTTACCCCTTATATAGTTATATGTGCATTGAAACAACCTTAATAAATAATTGAATCAAATGTACAGTTTATTATATGGCACTTGATGAAAAGAAATTAATTTTGAAGGGTTTGCAGTCATTTATTTTGAGCCCACCAAATTGTAGTGATCTATCAAACCACCCATGAGAATGGACTTGCCATGCACACTGTATTTAGAAACTAGCTAGGGTTTTTATTAACCCTGCTGCTTATGTCAAAATGGTGGGTTAAAGTTAGGCTCTAAGTCAGTTTCAGAGGGATGGGCACTGCCCTATTGGTGTTGTGGGCATTCACTTGACAAAGTTGCCATGGTTGAAGCTAAAAATGTGAGCCAGAGACAAGTACGACCCTTTCATTCAAGGAGATTTTCCTCATGATAGATCAATATAAGAATGCCAAATCATATGAAGGACAGAACAAAACCAGCCACCAGGAAATTGAGTGCTTTAACTTGTTATGAATGGCTTCTAACTTTTGCCAGAAACTCCCCACCCCATTAGAGAAACATAGATAGAGGGGCTTCTGGTATTTTGGCAAAAATTTCTCGATCTAACAGAGGGCAGGTTTCTAATTTTACATATTCCATGACTCTATAATACCAGCTAAAAAACATCACCCTGTCAAGTTCATAGCTTCAGACGATACAGCTATCGAGTAACATTGTCATGATAAACATTTTACATCAAGTTACAATTCCATGACATAAACATTTTATACATCAGAAGCTATGTAAACAGAGATTTGGGAGGCTACTGAAATCAACTTTGTGAAGGTTAGTAATTATAGATGCCAAAATCCATAAGAACATGGTATACTACATCAAAGTTTTCATTGTGTATAGGATTGACTAGTTTCCGCCTTTGAAAACCTAGACAGAGAAATCAAGAGAACATGTTAAGGCAACGGAACAACCAAAGGAAGCATAGGCAACCGAAGTAAGAAAATTTAAGGCAACGATGCGTAGTTTTAGGTATTGGATATACATACTACAAAAAGTGATTCCATAAGTACAGTTAACTAAAGCTGCTAAACAATGTCATCAGCCTGGGGACAATCTCGATCTCCCATTCTTTTGCCTGCATGTATAAATTTAAGAACAAGTTAATTGATAAGCAGTGGAAAAATGATAATCAGAATAAAATTAACATCCTATCTTTTAGATCAGCCACAAACCAAAAGGAATCCTTCTTCTCTTGTGCTAATAGTTCCTCAAAGGAAATGTCAGTAAATTCTTCAGTGTCTGTGCTTTCCGTCGACTCACTGGACTTGGCCTTCTCCTCCATGGAGGCATGAAGTTCAAGCATCTTTTATGAAATATAAAGAGAAATCAAAATCATAAGAATACATGAGAAAGAAATAGTTGTAGGTATGAAGATGACGGAATCAATCAAACAATCTAAATCAAAAAACCGTTGAACTGATAGCCAATGCTCCACTGACATGGCAGAAAAACAAAAGACAATTTTTTCACTCTTTTATGCACAGTATCTGTAATGAAAACCACTAACCTACGAAAACCATGTGCGCTACATCACTCTAAATAAGTGTCGGTGTTGTTATGCAACTAAAAAGACAGGCCAATTTTGGAGGTCATCCCTCACATTCTATGATAATATTTGTTACAGCAGCACATACACAAATACAAAAATATGGCACCATTCCTTCATGTTGTAATTGCAGCTAATCAATATATTTATTCGTACAAATAATGAACATATGATGACATATTCTAAAAGCACAAGAAAGCATCCAAAACAAGCACAACTTAGATTAACAGCCAGCAATCAAATATGATCTCAACTTAAGGGCTTAACTTGTTACCTTCTTGTATGCTGGTGAAAGCTTAAGCTGTCGTTGAAGCCAATTATAGACAAATGCATCATCCTCTAATCTCTTCTGTTCCTTCTCTAGCTTGAATAACTAATGGGTCAATGAAGTAATCCCCTTTTAGAAGTGACCAATATATATGATACCTAATCCACTCCATAAATATATCAAATAAATTTTAAAAATCACCTGCTGGCGAATGCGGTCAACTGATGATCTATCTGCCTTGTTTAGCAGAGCCTTTGTTATTGTAAACTTACGGTTAATGGTCTCAGACCTGAAATACAAATTTGAAGAATTATCTAAGTTCTGATTCACGAGATGAATTAAGGAAGTGAAATTTAGATGTGCTGGGACTAATTAAGAAATCAGAAATTAATAGACAACTACCATGTAAAACATTCGAGTCAAAGGATAAAGAAATTTCAAAGTTCAAATTGAACTCTATAAGACAGAAAAGTTGTAGTGAGGGGTCAGGTAGGAGATAAAAAGCATGTAAGCACGCTCGATCTGAAACTAATTGGAGCTACTAAGTATTGTCAGAAAATTGAATGTATCATTCACAAGTCACAAATTACGAAACAGCAGAAAAGAAAATTATTTACTGCTATAAGGAAAAGAATATAATCAGGACATAAAAATAAAAAAAAGTAAAAAAAAAAAAAATGGTGAATTGTCGCAAATATTAAAAATATTAGATTAAAACATACTTGGCTTTCTGAAAATTATCTATAAACTTACTTGTGCTCTAGCTCATCTTTGGCGTCTGTCAAACAATGAGCAAATTCTGCAACCTGTATTATGCAAGCACATGAAGAATTGTTATGTTGCAGATGTAGCAGTACTATAATGTAAATATTAAAGCAAAATTTTAATTCCAAGAGCCACAGAGCTTACATATGCAAAGATTTTCTAATTATAATACCCAGAACAATTCCAGTAACTTTGCAATCAATCTTTCCATCAGACCAGAACCAATTGAACTAGAAAGTTCTTCTAAATTTGCACATTCTGACATCTAGAAGTGTGTAGCATGAGCAAAGGAGCAGGCTTAGCTACATTATATAAAATATAGCAAAACGTACAAGGTGCATAAAGAGCTTAAAAAAAAATATGTGCTCTGCATTGTGATACGTGTTGCCATCCCATCTTTTGCTGCACCAGAAAGGGATTCATGCAGTGATTACAATACACTCAAACACTACCAAATTTTCACAACCATTTTCTCCATCAATAGGACAATTCAACTGTTTACTTATACCATGCAGTGCATGAAAATAGGTAAAAAGGAAACGACACATTGATGATGATTAAATTTCAGTTCTCCATGGAGAGTTTTACCATGAAACAATCAAACATGAGACTGGAAATGTAACAAGAACAACACGGTTATTTCTCAGGCTTGACCGTTAGAGGGAAAATTAGAAGTTATGAGACTACAATGTTTCTCTGCTGAATCTAAACCCAACATAATACAGACTTTTTAGCTGCGATAGTCTGCTCTAAAACATTAGGAGAATGCATTTCAGATTTTCACCTAGTCTCAGCTTTACAAAAATAAGTTTTCAAGTAAATGGTCATAAAGTATTTTAGTTGTGATTTGTAACACATTAAAATCCCACATAAATAAGTTTATATCCCTTCTTTTATCTAAAATCTCCAGAACACGGCTTCTCCTCTCTACCCTGCCCTTTTATAACCCAAGTTAGTAGCACTAACTGCTGCCGTCTATCCCCCAACTTTACAAAAAAGAAAGCCGCTCATGTTTTCTACACGCCTAACAAGTCCCCTGAGCACCATTCACATACAATGTAAACAGCCTTCTTTTATAGAGCTTTTAGACTTTGTAAAAGAAATCCTCCAACTGCCGACTTAGCTTATGTAATAAATCAAGCAATTACTAAGAAAAACGGCATTGCGCACTTCCATTCAGAAATTCTACACTTACAAGGACATTATCAAATAAGCAAATGTGCTCGATCCTTGCATCTATCATGTCAAACAACCACCGACAAAAATCCATAGCCCATTTTGAAAAGATAAGCACTATTAATTATAGCATGAAGGTTTTCTTTCATAACCCTAATTGCACCTCTAAGTATATAACCATAAGTTCATCTCTGTATGTCATTTGTGAACCATATTATTTAATATGATCAGCTCACCATCTCATCAAAAACACACTCATGAACGGACCCCTAGACTCCAAACCTGTGGTTCTTGTTTGCCAAATTATGTTGGCATCCCATGAGCAAGTAATTTTCCAAGTACCTTTCCTCACAGGCAGAAAAGAAAATACATACATGTATCAAAAGAAAAGAATCAAAAAAACGTTTTAAACGAGCAATGTTCTCCAACTGGCATAAAGATGACTACTAAAGCTAATTTATTAAAGATGGTTTAACAGAACAAGCAACTATAAAGTATTCCTTAAGTACTATTCAAGTTACGACAACTTCACAAATACACCAAACCTAAATTTAAAATAATAATAATAAATAAAAATAAAAACCTAGTTTCCAAAACATATTAAACCCTCACTAAACCTATCATCTAACCAAAATAAATAATCAAAAACATAAACTTTACATAAAGAAAAAATAAAAGAACAAAATTTAACCTGAGCAAGCGTCAAATTTTTGCTTTCATGGCACTTAACAATATGATCATACTGTTGCTTGATCTTCCTCTGAGTTGCACTACTTGATGTTGTAAACGGGTACAAACAAACCAATTCGGGTTTCAAATTACCCGAATCCGGTTTTTTTTTCTCTTTTTCCTCACCCTCCCTCTTCTCTTCACCATTACTTTCTTCTTCACCTTTCGAATCCAGTTTCTTCTTCTTACTTTTCTTTTTCTTCTTCTTCACTCTCTTATTATCATCCCCTCCCGAACCGGCACCGCCAGTACTCTCATTCACCTCCTCCCTCTCGTGAACCGACCCGTTCCCTTCCGGATCCTCACACTTTTTCTCGGCAAACAACTTCTCCCATTTTGCAGCAGTTTTCGCCGGTAAGATCTCAAGCAACAGCTGCTCCGCCAACCGGGTCGGGTCATTTTCACGCTCTTGACTAACGGAAGCATTCTTCAACGCCAATGCATACTCCTTCTCTACTTGTTCAAGACGCTCGATTTTCTTGTGGGTAATAATGACACACACAACGAAGAAGATGGACAAGAACAAGAAAGAAAAAACTAACAGCAAGAACAACATGAGGGCCAAAAGTTCCTTAAATTTTACAAACATAAATATAAAAATAGAATCTTTTTACACAACAGCCATCATCCCGATGGCGGTAACATAGCACGGGTATAACACTTACACCAAAGTGGTGGTGGTGGGTGGAGCTCGTTGTTTGTTCGTGTTCGAAGTGGGATGATGAAGTGGGCGTGTGAAAATGTTTTTGTTTGTGCTGGTTTAATGTTCTTTTTATAAAGAGAGTAAAGAAGATGATGAAGACGACGGAGAAGGAGGAGAAGAAGAAGAAGATGAAGATGATGATGATGATGTTATAAAGAGATAGTTTTCGTGAGTGATTTGGCTTGTTTATGGCCGCTGATGGTGGTAGGGGAAAGGTGATATGGGTAAAGTGGAGTGGAGATTGGGGCAGGTGAAGATTACATTTTATATACTTGCTGTAATTTTCGTAGGGTTAATTACAAGGCCACCTCTAATATTTTGTCCTAAATTTTTTACCCTCTCTAGTTTTGAAAACTTAACGCTGACACCTTCCAATGCAGGTCACATTAGTTAAAAGGGTAATAGTAGACGTACAAAGAAATTTACAAAGATTTATTATACAAGGTGACATGGCAAATGATGAATGAAAGAGTGAATATGGAGAAAGAGATAGAAAAACATTTTGAATAAACCCTTTAACATTTTATTCTACACGCCTTGAAATTCTTACAAAACTAGTGATAATTTTGGATAAATAATTGAAAATTTTCTCCAAATGATTGTTCGTTTTGGCATTAGTGTAACTCTTAAATATACAAACAGTCCATTGTTACAAGGGGGAGAAAAAAAAAAACATTTTTAATAAACGGTCAATGGCGTTGATCAATCTATAGATCGTTTTTACATTTAAAAAATGATAAAAATACCAAAATAGTCAAGATCAAAACTTTTAACTGCTCATCTAAAACTCCCGGAACATTTTGCCAAAAAATTTAGCCATATAGCTTCTACGCCTTGAACTATTATATTTAACTAACATAATCGTTATTTGAGGGTGACAATGTTAGTTCCCAAAATGTTTTGTCCTAAACTGGGATTGGTATTATAATAAACCATTTTAGTTTTCTTTTGAGGAATAATATTTTACTTGAACAAAAAGTTAAAGTTTAAAGACTAAAGGAGAGAAAGAAAATAACAAAATATTAATATTATATATATTAAAAGTAATTTGGTATAATAATGTTATTTATGATATATTGATATGTACGTATAATTAAGAGATAAATTTTAGAAATAAAAAAAGATATATACTATTATTTAAGGGGAAAAAAAAAGTAATATTAAATAATTTTATAAGAAGAATTTGTATGTTTTATTAAGAAAATAAGGTAGCCCACACACTTTATAGCATATCTAAGATTAAATTAAATGTACCCAAAAATTAAATAAATTTTGTGTAGACATAAATGCATATTTGAGTATTGCTTAGACAATTAATTAATTTTTCTATTTTGGACCAACACTATATAATTTGTTTGAGCCCTCTTATAGAAAACATTATGATATTTGGTAAGTTGATTCCAGACCAACCAATTAATTTAATTTAATACACTAATAAGGATGTTTAAAGTCACAAATAACTTTACATGTGGTATTTAATCTAAGTAATTGATGGAGTTACCATAACTTTGGTAAGTTTTTGTTGATTATTTAAGTCTATTTGTTTAGATTTATCTAAAGGTAAGCTCTTTTAAAAAAGTTAAAACCGTCCCTCATGCTCAACGTGAAACATGACTCTGATAGATTGATCCCACGATAAATGGACTTAGGTATAACTCATTTCCAAAAGCTACCGCAATTGGTGATTGTAATCTCCTACATCCTGCAATTTTCCACAAGCATTCTGATTTATTGGCAAAAAGGCGAAGAAATCTATTTCTCATTCCATTCCAATTGATTCAAGAACAAGAGAAAAAACTACTGCCCCTTTCAGGTATCTCAATCGACATACTGATAAAGGGTATTTTCCGTAGAAATAATATTTTTGCTTATTTCGACGATCCTCGATGTAGAAGAAAGAGTTCAGGAATTACAGAATATGGGACTATAGGGGCGCATTCAATCGTAAAAAATGAGGACTTAATTGAGTATCGAGGAGTCAAAAAAATTAAGCCAAAATACCAAATGAAAATAGATCGTTTTTTTTTTCATTCCGAATCCTTTTACGTAATGGTACAGAATAATAGTATCATTAGAGTAGATACACCAATCACTTTAACTATAAGAAGCCAAATGGACGGGTTGGTCCGAGTGGAGAGAAAACAAAAAAAAAAAAAAAATGATTGAACTGAAATTTTTTTATAAGACAAATTCAACTTCTAATAAAACTCAAACTCAATTTGTTGGAGATGTGGAACGTGTTAAACTCCCAGTCTTATAGACGTTACGTCTGTACCAAATAAACCCTAAACATTATAATTTAACCTTAAACTATAATTAATATTACAATAAACTTTATTATATTCAACCCATTCTTATCAACTAAGTCATTTATCTAGATAAAAAAATATTCAAGTAAATGGATTATCTCAAGTTGACCTTAGAGGAACCAAAGTTTAATTTATGTTAAATTTTATTACATTTTATATCATATGGTACACAAAAGTATATTTTATACAATAGACCAAAAGAAGTGTCAAAGTTCATAAGGTCACCAAGTCAAGCTATGTCTTAATCAATTAGTAGTTAGTACAATGATTTGTATTTGATAGTTTCATCATATTATAAAATCCATGGGCTCATTTTTATTATGGCTAAAAATAGGTTATCCTTTTAACTCAAGGAGTCAACTTAGAATACTAAAAATATTGTCTATGATAATTTAAGTCTTTAAGTCAATATAGAATATGTTATGCCTATGTCAATTATTAATACATAATTAATGTTGTGTTTCGATTGTTACATATGTTTACCTGATATAATACGATATAATATGATTATTTTAATAACTCAAATATTAATAAAATATTCAAAATTATATACTCTCGAACATTTTTTTTTTTTAAAGAATAATGGGACATAACTTAAATTTATGAATATAGAATTCAATTTTTTAAATAATTTATGAATTTAGAATTCAATTTTTTTTTTTAAATGTTAAATTTAGGATTTGTTGGTAATGCCCAATGGGCTAATTGAAAGCCCGTATGAATAAATCCCTTAAACAAGTTTATGGAAATACGAAATTACCCCTAATCATGTTTTATTACTAAGTCAATAAACCTTATTGTTTCTAAGTTTTCATTTATCATTAGTCACGTCATACATAATTTTTTTCTAGAAGCATCGTGAATCTTTTTTTAGACGAGCCGTTGATCCGATTCTATCCATTTTGTTAAATCAACAATTAACTGATCATCTTTGACCTGCACGTTAAGAACGTTAATACGTCGGCACTAGAAATCTATCTCTTATATGGTTCTATTACATATCATAACAAACCATGTGATATTATAAGATCCAGAAGAGAAAATTCCCACTTAATGCTGCCATTGCAGTAAATGTCTAAGCAGTAGTAGATGGAACCACTTTTACTGTTTTTCAGCTTTTGGGCATGATAATATTAGCTGTCAAACTGGGATTTCTTTTGTTTGTTTACAGAAGCACTTAAATGTGAAGAAATTGAAAGTACTTTTGCCTGACTTGGGTTGGGCTGGGCTGGGCTGAGCTGGACTAGGTTGGATGCTTCTCCCTTTTTTCTTTCTTTCCCACATGATGCTTATAGTTTTGTTTGAATTTTGATTGGTAGTACTAAAATGAAGTGACATTTTTTTTTTTCTTATGGATAAACCGGTAATTGTCTTTCCCGCAACTCGAACATAAAACTCTTAGGTATAACTAACTCCAGTGGTTAAAAGGCTTACCCTCTGATCATAAGGGAAAACCCGGTAATTGTCTCTCTCGCAACTCGAACACAAAATCTCTAATTATAACTAACCCCAGTGGTTAAAGGACTTACCCTCCGATCACAAAGAAAGAGGTAAATGAAGTGATAATTGACAATGTTGTCAAGTAAGTTGGATGTTTTTAGCAGAATTCACATCAGTTTTTAGGGTATGGTCCATTTTGTCACTTGTATTGTTGTATTCTTTTCAATTGGAATCCAATATGGGCTGGACTAGGTTGGATGCTTCTCCCTTTTTTCTTTCTTTCCCACATGATGCCTATAGTTTTTGTTTGAATTTTGATTGGTGGTACTAAAATGAAGTGACATTTTTTTTTTCTTATAGGTAAACCCAATAATTATCTCTCTCGCAACTCGAACACAAAACTCCTAGGTATAACTAATCCCAATAGTTAAAGAGCTTGCCCTCCGGCCACGAGGAGAGAGAGGTAAATGAAGTGACAATTGACAATGTTGTCGAGTAAGTCGGATGCTTTTAGCAAGATTCCCATTACTTTTTAGGGTATGGTCTATTTTGTCACTTGTATTGTTGTATTCTTTTCAATTGGAATCCAAAATGGGTCATATTGACTTGTAAACATAACGTTGTACCATGTCATTTATCTCATTATAAATAAAGAAAGTTAGGATATGGATGTGATGATGTTATTGTATAGTCTAAATCAATACATATTTTTGGATACTATATGCATGACAACACATATGAAACATATGGTTTAACTGATCTTATTTAAACATCTAAAGTGAATATGCAACGGCGTAGTTTCACTATACCAGTATGTCGATATATGCATGTTAGATGTTTATGTCAAACAATTATCCAATGACTATTGCAATACAATAAAGATTGACTCATAATCCAATTTTACAAACTCTTTCTCACAACCCCTACGTAACAGCTCCTAATTTTTTGCTGATGAATTTCGAATTTTAAAAAATTCATCATCAAAAAACTATTGTTTTAAAATCTGGACCGAAGGGTAACCCGTTTTACTGCCCGGGTCACGGGTTAACCGGTCCAACCGGTTAGATCGATGACATCAATGACAAATTTATTTTTTTAAAATTACATATTAATCCCTTTAATTTTAATATATTACAAAAATTTCCCTCAAAAGTTTATTAGTCCCTAAAATTTTTATTTATTTCAAAAATGCCCCAAGAAAATGACTAATTAATCCCTAAACTTTTGACACATCTCCAAAACACCCCTATAAAATTACAATTAACCCTTATAATTTTGAAATATTACAAAAACCCCCTAAGACTTGAACCGGACCGAAGAAGCTGTCAGGTCTTGGTCGATCCGATTTTTAAAACAGAGCAAAAAACTGAAAACTACTACCTAACGATTGTGAGAGAGAATTTGTGAGATTGAGTTGTAAGTGTAACATTACCGGTCGCAATAACCATGATCAAAATGAAGGCGGAATTGGATAG